AAGTCTCCCTCCCACTGGAACACCCAGTTCTCCCACTCGGAGACAAACCACTGCTACCAGTCCACGGCTGTCCTGTCCACAGTCCATTCCTCACCCAGCATCCAGAGGGGCCCTTTAGAAATGTGAAACATCATGCCTTTGCCCATCATACTCCAGATATCACGCCACATCCTGACCACTGCCAAAACGTGGTCGGGGCGGGGGGGCTGCCAACCGCCTGACTTCATTATCACAACTCTGGCCTCACGAGGTCCCCTTCCTGCCACTCTGGCCTCCGTGACTTCTTGCAACAACATACTGGCTCATCTTGGGGCTTGCTGCCCCTATGTCTGGAGAACCACAACAGTCTCGCACTCATTCTCTTCGTTCCTGCACGTCTCTGCTCAAACCTCACCTCCTTGGAGAGGCTTTCACAGACTGCCCTCGTGCTCTGCCCCTTACTCTGTTTTTCCAGTCTCTGCCTTCCTCCTGAAGCCCAGCCTAGCCCTGGGCTTGCTGTTATGTCCATCTGCTGCTCGGCAGAAGGTCAGCTCCACGAAGCAAGACGCGTTTGCTGCTGATTCTTCCCCAGAGTTTGCAAGTGCTGGACTGTGGGGGCTGCTCAGGAAATCCTCACTGAGCGAGTGTGTGGGTATATGTTCCCTTTTTTTATACAATCTGCTATTCTTATAACATGCTTTTTTCTTTTGACAATACACCTCAGAGTCTGATCTACGCTGGCCTTTGGCGATCGGCCCCATTATTCATAACACGCATACTATTTCTATTGACTGGATGCCCCATGTTTGTTTTTTTTTTTTAACCAGATCCTTACTGGTGAACATAGGTTGTTCCCAGTCTTTTATTATCACATAACAAACAAACAACACAGTGAGGAATATACTTCTTCATGCACACGGCAAAGTATATCCATATAATAACTCATCAACGTCAGCTCATTGGACCAGATGGTATGGGATTTTGAATATTGAAAAATATAGTCAAATCGCACCCCCTAGAGAAGTGTCCCAAGTAACAAGGGGAGAGAGAGGAGCAGGGGTTGAGGTCAGAGAGTGACAGGGACAGGAAGCCAACACAGTAGAGCTTGTAGGCCACTGTAAGGACTGTGGCCTCGAAAAGAGATGGGAAGACTGAGGGGTTTTGCACAGAGGAGAGATGTGACCTATTTAGGTTTTAAAAGGACCACTCCGGCTGTTGTATGGAGAACAGACTGAGTAGGGCAACAAGAGAAGCAGCTCGACCAGATGGGACATTGCTCAGAAACACAGGCCAGGTGACGGGAATGACATCTTGAACCTAGGAGGCGGCAGTGGACCTGTTGAGACATGTTGGTTGGGGATATATTTTGAAAATAGAGCAGAAGACATTTGGTGATGGAATGAATGTCAGAGTCAGAGAAGAGTGAAGGATCTCTCTTGGGGTTTTGGTTTGAACAGCTGGAAGCATGCGGTGGCAAAGTCTGTGTAACCTGGGTCCCACCCCTGAGATGTGGGGAGCCAGGGCTGCAGCAGCAGCAGCTGGTGGAGGGGAGGGGGCTGGAAAACCTTAATTTCCTAACAGGTGAGGTTTCTCAATCTAACGCTGTGTGGTTTCAAGGGGTACAGTGGAACTGCAGTGGGCTCAGCCGTATAGCAGTCTAGCTCAAGGGCAAGTGGGATAGTGACTACCTTGAGCCCCACTCCCTGGATGAGCCCGTGTTCCATCTCTTGACTTCCTACGGTGCTGCATGCTGCTGTGTGTGTGGCTGGGCACCTCTGTTCCCTAACCTCTTACAGTGTTTCCCAGTGATCCCATGTTTAGTGTCCTCCTATCTGGCCTTTTCCCTGATCAGTGATTGCCGGAGGCTGAAGAGGACAGTGTTGTCAAGATGGCAGGAGGGCTCTGAACATAAGGGGGCTGTCAGACTCTGCCTGGCACAGCAGCTTATCGAGACATGCCAAAGAGCAGGAGAGAGAGAGAGAAGATCAACAGATGAGACAGCTGTTCTCCCAAGTCAAACTACTCCAGATGACAGTCAGCACTCACGAACTCACTCCTGTGTCCTCCCCTCTACTGCGGCCCACAGCCTGAGCAGCCTGACCTGTCTCTTATGCCCAGCCACAACTGGCCTCCTTTCTGTTCCTCTGACATGGCAAGTCTGTTCCCACCGCAGGGCTCTGGTGCTTGCTGTCCCCTCAACCTGCAGTGCCCTTAACATGACTGCCACCTTGCATCAGTTCAAACATCCCTGCTCAGCCCAGGCCTCTCCTGATGGCTGTCTCCCCAAAAAGCCCCACAAGAAAAGAGGACCCTCCCCTGGCATTTTAGGATGAGAGAAGCTTTATGTGACAATCTTTACCTTTCCGGTAAATTTCTGTTACTCAGTGAAAGGCAGACCGCAAAAATGGTACAAATTAACTTGGCGGAGAACAAAATGTTGCCTCTGTCCCATGTGTTTCAAGCATCAAAACCAATTCTTGTGTGCCTTTTACAAGACAGGACAGGTACTGTGTGGGTTAGGGAAGGCAGCCTACAGGGATATAGAGAGATCACCGGGCTACCAACATGGGGAAAAATGAGTAACAACAGATCTTCTCTGGAGGAGAAACTGGGATAAGGGTCTCTTTTCTGGGGTCAAGGGGAAAGGATGAGAGTCTCTGTTGGCAGGGTCAGGTGGCCAGTGGCAAGACATACACACTCCCTGAAGAGAAACAAAGCATCCCCAGTGAGTGTCCAAGTCTTCCTGGGTCTATCTCAAGACACCCCCAGGGAGAAATGCAGACCAACACAGGTTGGTGAGAGATCAGTGAAAAGAAGTTTGGCCCAGGAAGGGCACAGCCCACCGGAAGAGGGACTGAGCAGGGAGGAAGACTCAGAACCCTACTTGCCTGGAAGCAATATCGACTTGGGAAAGTCCAAGTCCAAGGAAAACCATTTATAAGAAGGGACCTGATGGGCCAGAGGAAATCAGGCAATGCTTTAGACACTAATGAGTCTCAGAGGAGCCTCCTAGAAACGGGAAACTGATTAGGTCAGGGGCCTTGAGAGAAAAGATGGGGAAGGAACAGGTGTATAAAGACCAGAAGGATCAGGAAGTGGGTGCATGTGCAAAATTGTTTGGAATAATTGCCCATGGAAAAGAAAACAGAATGCATTATTTGAAATGCAGAAGAAGCAGGAAGCCCCAAAGAGCCGGTGTGATCTGGATTCTGAAAGGAATCAGTTGGTGGGGACAGAATTTGGTGGGCGATCCAGATGGTCACACTGCGTTGGGAAAAACTCAACTATTGACCTTCCTCTCTTTGACCATGTGACTCTTCCAGGCATAAAAGCCTCACATTTGTGGAAGAGAAAAAGGTGATCCAGTTAGATAAGCTTCCCCTTGCTCCTGAGACCAAACAAACTTGAAAAGCCGCCTGACTGTCTCCAGGAAAAGGCAAGACACCCAACTTCGCTGTGCTCAGGAAGAGGCCATTGGGAACACAAACCTAGGGAAGGAGTGAGTATAGACAAACTTATGAAGGGGGACAGAGTATGGGCTTTACTCTCCAAGGAGATAAGGCAAGAGGTCACAGAGATGGGAAAGGAGCCAGAACAAGCCAATGGCGAGCTTGTTCTGGTGAGGGCCTGGTGCAGGCGAGAGGGGCATGAAAACAATGGTGAGCTCAGCCCCAACGAGGTGGGAATCTCCCAGTTCACCGGGCCCTCTATCTGAGATTCTCTAGTCTGGGAATGAGATTTATAGGTGGGTGACAATTAATACACCAACAGTAACAGGTTGAGGACTCAAGTTTTATTTCAAATGTCTACCTTTTAATGATAAATAAGAGATGAAAAGTGATTCTTCACAAGCATAAATCTTACACACATGTGCTTTCTTCAGGCAGCGAGAAAGGGAACATTAGCGGCAGCAGACTGGGAACTGTGGTGCTTTGGGAGAAATCATGATTATCTGTGCTATGGAGGAAAACAAGCTGAGGCTGGGATCTTCCCAGAGTCACACAACTGAGCTGAGGCATGGGATCCTGGTGACTGGGCCCAGCTCAGGCTATTTCCATTACTACCAACCCCCTCCTCCACAAATCTACAGGTTTTCTTAGAACGACTTAGTGTGGAATCAAGAAACTGGGCATCTGGGAGTCACCTTGGGCTTAATTTGAGCATCCCTCAGGCTGAACCAAATTCCCATTTTCAGGGGTGAAGGTGAGAGTCTTGTGTTCAATCCCAATGACAAAAGAAAGAAAGAAGAGGCAAATGGAAGGAAGAAAGGAAAGAAGGAAGGAAGGGAGGGAGGGAGGGAGGAGGGGGAGGGGAGGGGAGGGAAGGGAAGGAAAGGAGGAAGGAAAAGGGAGAAAAGGAAGGGAGGGAGGGAAGGAGGAAGCAGGGAGCCACAAGCAGGCTAAGTAAAATTTGGAAAAACTCAGACGCAGTCTCAGGCTTAGTCCCTCTTTGTGACGAAGCAGCTGTTTCCTTCCCCTCTGTTCCTACAGCCATTCATTTATCAGCAGATGGTGCTGAGCACCTACTATGCCTCAGGCAGAGTTCTAGGTCCTAGGGACAGAGTGGTGAACAAGACAGAGGGTGTCACTGTCCTCACAAAGTGCCCTTTCTAGGGGGGACTTAGAGACCTCAAAACTTTTCCTGTGGGAGCTTTTAAGACATCAAAATGGTTAGGAGACTCTTCCTTCCTTCCTTCCTTCCTTCCAGCCATCCATCCTTCCATCCATCCATCCATCCATCCTTCAATTCCTTCCTTCCTTCCTTCCTTCCTTCCTTCCTTCCTTCCTTCCTTCCTTCCTTCCTTCCTTCCAGAAACAATTTGGTTGGGAAGCAAGGAGGCTTCCTTTCTCCATGACACAGAGAAAGCAGAAGAGTACTCAGTTTGAGGGGTCAGCCATCACCACTCCGTAAGGCAGGAAAGGGAGATGCGATGAAGCCAAGAATGGATTCCCCTTGGTTTGGGGCTCGGAAACCCATGGTCAGAGAGGATTCTCACTTCATCTTTCGTCTCTTTAGGAAGGATGGCCCTAAATTTCCAAGAGATTGCTCTCCTCTCTGCCTACATAATATATTTCCTCACCGGTCTCCCTGCCAACCTCCTGGCCCTGCGGGCCTTCACAGGACGGGTCCGCCAGCCCCACCCTGCCCCCATCCACATCCTCCTGCTCAGCCTGACGCTGGGGGACCTCCTGCTGCTGCTGCTGCTGCCCTTCAAGATGATCGAGATCGTGAACAACTTCCGCTGGCCCCTGGGAGACACACTCTGTGCCCTCACTGCGTATGGCTTCTACAGCAGCATCTACTACAGCACGTGGCTTCTGATGGGCATCAGCATCGAGCGCTACCGCAGTGTGGCTTTCCCCGTGCAGTACAAGCAGTCCCGTCGACCCATATATGGAGTGATCGCCTCTCTGGTCTCCTGCCTCTTGTCCTTCGGACACTGTAGCATTGTGATCATCGTCCACTACTTACCAGCCCAAAAGGAGGGGGTTGATGATGCCATAGTCCTCCCTGCCTGCTATGAGGACTTCTCTGAAGAGCAACTGAAAGTGTTGCTTCCTGTGCGGCTAGAGCTGTGTCTCTTCCTCTTCTTTGTCCCCATGGTGGTCACCATCTTCTGCTACTGGCGCTTCGTGTGGATCATGCTCTCTAGACCCCAAGTGGGAACACGGAAGCGCTGGAGAGCCGTGGGGCTGGCCGCCGTGACCCTCTTCAACTTCTTGGTCTGCTTTGGGCCTTATAATGTGTCTCATGTGGTGGGATTCTTCCAGAAAACAAGTGAACGGTGGCGGGTGTGCGCCGTGTTGCTCAGTGCTCTCAATGCTTGTGTCGACCCCTTGATTTTCTACTTCTCCTCCTCAGCTATGCGCAAAGCCTTTGATCAAAGGCTACGGGGTCTGCAGAGCTGGGGTGTCTTACTGTCAGGGTACTGCAGGAGGAGAACTGGGGAGCCAACTGCAGAAAGAGATGGGAGTTTAGGTATGGCCAATGTCAACTTCACAGGAGACTGAATTGGCCAGCTTGCTGTTATATTTTGTGGGAGGAGGGAGGGCTTGAAAGGGGGAACAGTGAAACAGAACTGGGGTGACTTCTCTTGTGCCTAGCTTACAAGGCAAAGAAGAGCAGTGGACATCTCAAGTCCAACTCATCCATTGGGGGAGTGTTTTTGTTTTGTTTCCTGGGGGTTATGACATTTCCTTATTTGTGGTTGGCACTGCTTCATGGTAAGCCACAGCCCCTTGATCCTTGAAATTATTTCCCCATGCAGTATCTTTAAGATGGTAGCATTCCTTCAACTACTGCAGAGCTATCTTGCTCTGTCCTTGATTCAGAGGCAGGGGGAGAGGTTGCTCCATGCAGCAGGTCTGAAGATCTAGCAAAGGCAAGAGTCTACAGAGCAAAGGGCACCTGGGTGGCTCAGCGGTTGAGAGTCCGACTCTTGAGTTCAGCTCAGGTCATGATCTCAGGGTTGTAAGATGGAGGCCTGTATCAGGTTCCACAATGGGTGTGGAGCCTGCTTGGGATTCTCTCCCCTTCCTCTACCCCTCCCCCTATTCATGTGCTACTTTCTGCCTCTCAAATAAATAAATAAAATCCTAAAAAAAAAAAAAAAAAAAAAAAAAAGAGTCTGGAGAGCCAGACAGGATCCTGCCATGTGAGCCTGCACAACCAGTCCCCCAAACAAAGCAGTTGCTGGCTCAGGTCTATGCAACAGCAAGTCAGTGCTGGTGTGAAGAAACTAGTCAGGATACTTCTTGGTGGTTACGTCCTATTTTCAGTCCCCAACGCTGTGTATTTGTATCTTTTTTTTCTGTCATCAGTCTTGCCAGAGGTCTGTTACTTGGTGTTTTCAAAAGCCAAAGGCCTTCTGTGGAAGTCATCCACAACTTCTATTTCTTTACTGTTGGTTTGTTTCCTTCCCTGTACTTTTTTGAGTCTTTTCAGTTGCTCCTTTTCCAACTTTTTGAAGTTGATGCTCATCCATTTTTAGCCTTTGTTCTTTGTTACCTAAGCATGTGAGGCTAGATATATAAATCTCCCTCCAACGGCAGCTTCAGTGGGATGCTACCAGTTTGGATTTGCATAATTTTTCATTATTTTAAGTTCTAAATAGGCTCTAATTTCCATATGATTGTTTTTTCTTTGACTCAAGTTTAGAAATATTCTTTATTTTCAAGGATACAGTTTTTTTTTTTCCTTGATCCTTTTGTCACTCTGTTCTAACTAAAGGCACTGTGACCAGAGAATATGGTGTGAATGGTTCCAGCTTTTTGAAATTTGTTGAGAACTGCTTTTTGACCTGGAATATAGTCGACCTACATACATTCTGCAACCATTGTGTCTCTTTACATGGGGTCTGTGAATGCCTTAGATCAAACCTGTTAATCTGTGATGTTCAAATCTTTATAACCTTTATTTACTTTTTGTCTGTTTGATCTATGAGCTACATGGAGAGGTGTGTTACATGCTCCTCCTATGACAGTGAACTTGGTTATTTCTCCTCATAGTTCTGTCTTCCCGGTGAAGTAAAATGGTCATCATTCTGTTTGCTTAAAATTTATTTTGTCTGAGATTAATATAGCCAAGCCAACTTGCTTTGGGGGTTAGTATTTGCCCAGTGCATCTCGGTCCCTCCTTTTACTTTCCAGCTTTCTATATTCTTAGGTTTCAGATACATTTTTTATATGCAGTGATATACAGCAGCTGGAGGTTTTATACTTTAGTTGGACAATTCAACAGTATTTGTTTTCTACCTATACCATTTTATTTATTTATATTTATATAATAATAATTTCCAATATGCTTGGATTTATTTCTGTCATCTTATTTTTAAACACTTCCAGGAAGTATACCCACAAATTGAAATCTACACGCATACTGCAAATGGCCTAATAATGAATAGCCAGATGAATTATCACAGTGAATACAAACATTTATAAAAAAAAAATGAAACACCATCTTACTTTGTGCTATTTTCCTCACCTACTATTATTTGCTTTTTCTCTCTTCTTGCTTTCCTTTGGGATTAAATTGCTTTATTTCTTTTCATTTCTCATATTACTAAATTGGAAATCATCAGCTCTATTTTTACTATTTAAGTGGTTACTTTAGACATTTTATTATGTTAAGAGTTCCTTAGTTGGTTTCTCCCTCCCTTTCTTCCTTTTTCCTTTGGCGTTCCAGATGGCATTCAACTATGTGAGTCCTTGAGAGCACTTTTCCTTCTGTCTTTTTTTTTTTTTAATTTTATTTGTTTACTTTAGAGAGAGATAGAGAGCTCAGGTGGGGGGCAGGGAAGAGGCAGAGGGAAAGAAAGAATCCCAAACAGACCCCATGCTGAGCACGGAGCCTGTTGTGGGGCTCAATCCCAGGACCCTGAGATCATGATCTGAGCAGAAATCAAGAGTTAGACACTTACTGACTGAATCACTCAGGTGCCCCTAGAAAGTACTTTTCAAAGTGTGGTCTGTAGACCCCTGGGGACCTGGAGACCATTTCTGGGATATGAGGGGTCAAGACTATTTTCATAATGATATTAAGATACTAATTGTTTTTTTTCACTCACATGCTTCCACAAATGAATGCACAGTGGAATTTTTCAGGAACTACCCAACATGTGATATTCCAACACACTGAATGCAAAGCAGCTATGAGAATATAGTTGTCTTCTATTAAGCTAGAGGCCTAAAGAGGTCTGCAAAAATGTAACACCATGCCACTCTTCTTCCTAGGATTTTTTAAAAAGATTTTATTTATTTATTTGAGAGAAAGAGACACACAGAGAGAGAGAGAGCATGCACAAGCAGTGGGGAGGGGCAGAGGGAGAAGGAGAAGCAGACACCCTGCTAAGCAGGGAGCCCAACAAGGGGCTCAATCCCAGGACCCTGGGATCATAACCCGAGCCAAAGGCAGATGCTTAACTGACTGAGCCACCCAGAAGTCCCCTCCCTAGGATCTTTGAAAACATAGTTATCTTCTGAAAATATGTTCTATTAACACATAATGGTTTTCTGATTCCCTTTGAATACATACATATTTAACTTTGTTTTGCTTTAATTTCCAATATGGTATGTGTCAACAGCTATAACATAAAAATTTAAGAAGCTCTTTGGGGTCCTCAGTAATATTTAAGTGCACACAGGGGTCCTGTGTTTAACAGAACTATACGTATCTAAAATCCCATGCTTCCTGGTGCATCAGCATTTAATGACTCAAAATTTCATAGTTTAATGCCATTTAAGCTTTTAGAGATGTGAGTTTAAAGTCTGCCTGGTCAAATGCGAAGCTTTTTGATGTTTGAAAAGGGAGCGGTAAAAACAAGAACTACCGTGTCATGAGATAAGGAGGAGCAGACGGGTCTAGAGGGTAAGACAGAGTTGCTCTGCACAGGACTCGGGGTTCATCACTTGACGCAAGTCAAGAATCTGGTTCCAAGGGGCGCCTGGGTGGCTCAGTGTGTTGAGCTGCTGCCTTCAGCTCAGGTCATGATCCGGGGTCCTGGGATCGAGTCCCAAATCGGGCTCTCTGCTTCGGCGGAGAGCCTGCTTCCCCCCCAGCCCAGCCTGCCTCTCTGCCTAGTAATGCTCTCTGTCTGTCAAATAAATTTAAAAATCTTAAAAAAAAAAAAAAAGAATCTGGTTCCAAGACATTTCTGCAAAGAAGACATCCAGATGGCCAACAGATACATGAAAAAGTGCTCCACATCACTCGGCATCAGGGAACTACAAATCAAAATCACAATGAGATAACCACATCATGCTAGTCAGAATGGCTAAAATTAACAAGTTAGGAAGTGACAGATGCTGGCAAGGATACAGAGAAAGGGGAACCCTCCTACACTGTTGGTGGGAATGCAAGCCGGTGCAGCCACTCTGGAAAACAGCAGGGAGGTTCCTCAAAAAGTTGAAACAGAGCTACCTTACAACTCAGCAATTGCACTACTGGGTATTTACCCTAAAGATACAAACGTAGTGATCTGAAGGGGCACGTGTACCCACATGTTTATAGCAGCAATGTCCACAATAGCCAAACTGTGGAAAGAACCTAGATGTCCATCAACAGATGAATGGATAAAGAAGAGGTGGTGTATATATATATACAATATATATACAATGGAATACTATGCAGCCATCAAAAGAAATGAAATCTTGCCATTTGCAACAATGTGGATGGAACTAGAGGGTATTATGCTGAGCGAAATAAGTCAGTCAGAGAAAGACAATTATCACATGATCTCCCTGATATGAGGAATTTGAGAGGCAACGTGGGGGTTTTGGGAGATAGGGAAGGAAAAAATGAAACAGGATGGGATCGGGAGGGATACAAACCATAAGAGACTCTTAATCTCACAAAACAAACAGAGGGTTGCAGCGGGGAGGGAGGTAGGGATAGGGTGGTTGGGTTATGGACATTGGGGAAGGTATGTGCTATGGTGAGTGCTGTGAAGTGTGTAAACCCAGCGATTCACAGACCTGTACCCCTGGGGCTAATAATACATTATATGTTAATAAAAAATTAAAAATTTTAAAAAGAATCTGGTTCCAAAGATTCTCTCAACTGGAGTTTTCCTTTTTGTTTCACAGAGAAGTATTCCTTCATCTACATCTGTGTGGTGGTGTGTTGATCCCAAATATAGGTAGGACTTGGGATCTAGGAAGTTGTATGAACCAGAAATCTCAATGCTAATTATATTTACCCTATGGCATCCTGGGGGGGAAAAACAGCACATTGATTCTTGTCCGCAAAGAGAAAAGAAAGCTAGTCAGGACAAAAGTTATGAGCATGCTTAGTGTGCTTTATTTTGGAATGAGGGGAGGCTTCACAAAGCCCTAGTAAAAGCCCCAGTTTTGTGGCTAGAGTACTTGATCACCTCTAGTTCATATATTCTAGCTCAAGACAACTCCTGTTGCCCCTCCTGGGAAATAGATGGTTCCTGGAGCACGGTGTTAAGAAGGGAGAAGAAAGGTCTGAAGATACCATTAGCAAAGTCACCTCAGCTCTCTCTGGATTT